AATGAAACACAACTGCTATTGAGTGAAATAATCGAAAATAACATCATCTCAGGGTAATGCAGCAAGATGTGGGCTAGAGTGTGTTCCCTAATATTCCATGCACGTGAGGTCCAAACACCAGCTGAACTTTTTGACAGGGGCTGGGCGTCTGGGAAAAGAAGCAAGGTCACAGCACTGAAGGAGTAGGCGAATGTTACCACATTTGTTTAGTGACCTTCAATTTAGAAAGAGGAACTCATCTCCACACATTAGTAGTCTGGAGTTGTGAATATTGTAGAAAGAAAAAAAAAGGAGGATATCAAAATCGCGCCATGTGTAAGAGAAAGCGAAGAAAAAAATGTGTTCTTTCCACTCCCCTCCCTTCCCTGTTAGCTCTTGCAATGTCTACAGATGTTTTCCTTCTGACTCTCATCTTTGCTTCCCTCTATGACCCTTCCCCTCTTACTGATTTTGTTTTTAACTTTCCTTGACTCTCAGTCTTGGCCTCCTGACTTCCTTGTAACTAACACCATATCCCTGTTGGCATGGCATCCACTTGAAGATTATTGCTTTGCACTGGCATCTGAGAACTTCCTCCTCTCCTGACCCTGACAGCCACCACTCAGTGCTGTATATTTGGAAAAGGGAGGAAGGGCAGAGGCTCCCACACAGAAACATCTGTGTTGGTACCCATTTTCTCAGATCTATTTGGAGTATTTTTTTAATACTATACTGGCTATTAAGGTAGGTCTAATGTTGCTTTTTAATGAAAACCACCTTTAGATTTAGGGAAAATCACGTTCATATTTATATAAAGGCTTTTTTATGTGAGATCTGAATGTTTATGCCCAAGTTCCCAAGAAGTCATAGGCCAAGAAGAGAACAAAAATGTGTATGCACTGAAAATGTGGGCAGTAAGCTAATAGGGATCCTTTACAATTTAGCACCGAACTGCCCTCCTTATATAACCAAAGGAGGAATTTTCTTTGGATTGAGTATCTGTTTCCTGTTCCGATAATTAGCACCTGCTCCAAATTTGGATGAGAATGCCACGTGCAGGGCCAGCATCTGGTGTCCCAAGCCAAAGTGAGCTTAGAAGACTCCATATGTGATCAGAAATGAGGAAAGTTTCTGGCTGAGGTTTTCATTAGGCAAATGAAAGCTTTAGGGTTTCATTTCACTTCAAAGACAAGATCCTCTGAGCAGTACATCCTGTTGCGCTGGTAGTGATATTATATTTGTAGCTATGAGGTACTGGAGCCAAAGAGTGGAATACAAGGCTTCCATTTCCTAGCCACAAAACATGGGCAGTGCCAGTGGTTTTTGTGAAATTTAGAAGCTGATTAAAATATTTCTAAAGTTCTTAGAAAGTTTCTCAACAATATATTTGCCGCTCTGTGATGGAGTAAATCTTGCAAATATTTCAATAACCAGAGGCTGACTTAGCTGTGTTGTATAAGCAGGACCAAGGGTCAATCCAATTGTTAAGAACAGCTACTCTAACATAAATCTTTGACTTTTCATTTTACCTAGCCTTTCAACTAACTGGTGTCATCTGCATTCATTAAAACAGATTGATGTAACTGAGGAATGTCATATTTATTAAGTGTTTACTCTGTGCCAGACATGTTGTTAGATCAATTCACATGCCTGTGATTTGCCCTTTGCCTATTTTGCTCTGATCCTTTCTCTGCCTTTATTCTGCTGTGTTGTTTCATGTGGGGCTACATTTCCAAGACATTTTCCTCTGGCTTTCCTGTAGGTTTTGCCAATGTGAGTCATTGTGAGAAGGCAAGTCTCCTTTCCTTGGCCTTCCTGAGTCTCCTCTGTGGCTCCTAGTTTCATGAGCCATCCTCTCTCTGTCAGAGACCCAGCTACTGATGAGCAGACCTTGCCTAGTTCCACCTTTTCTTCATGTTACCCTTGAGTGTAAGCTTCAGTAAAGCCACTTACTCCTTTTGCTTTTCCAGAAATATGGATGGTGATGCCTAGCACCTACATCTAATCTCTAGGTTGCCTCATTATCCCGTTGAACTTCTCAATTATCTTATCACCTGTGTAACCAATTTCCTATTTTATTTGTGTTTGAAATATTAATAATGGTTTCTGTTTTCCTGACTGGATATTGTCTGAGGTAATGAACATATATGCTATCTTGATTAACCCAAGATACTAAATTGCTAGGCAGGCATCATTATCCCATGGGATAGTAACACAGGATGCAAAGGCTCTACAAAGTTAAAAATATGTGTGTGTGCGCATGTGTTTTTATAGTTACAATGATACAAATAGTGGATGTTAGATGTGAACTATGTATACCACACAACTACATTCTTTTAATGATACCACATTGCCATTCATTCTTCCCTCTAATCTTGTATTATAGTTTTATTATAGTATATTATTAAATCTACATGTCTTCCCTTGCAGACAACCCTGCCTAATGGAAGAAACCCCTAGTGAAAAGGGATAAGGAAACTATGTATAATCTATGTGCGTCTAACTACTTTCCTCTGCCCCCAAAGAATAGACGTCCTCAGTCCTACTTGAAATCAGCCCGGCAGGGTTCCTTTAGGTTCTTGTTATCACCCCTCCCTCCTATAGCTTCAACCTTTTTATTTCCACTGGCCCCTTCTTAACATGTACATACAAAACTCCTATCATCATCAACTCCTCCCTTGATCCTGCATCACACACCCTCTGATTGTTCATGTCTCCAGTCTTCTCTACCTCTCAGCTCCCATTCGCTTCCTAGTCTAGTGTGATTTGACTTCTTGTGCCTTCATCACTCAACTTCTTTCAATGTGGATACTACCGATCTCCTGAATGCCAGTTCCCTAATTCCCTGGTCTAGAAGGACAGCTCTGCTGCATTTAACACTGTGGTTGTCTCACCCCCCCAACGACTTTCATCACCACCCTCCTTAACCAGTTCTCCTCTTACAAATCAGAGTGTTCCTGTCTCCTCATATGTTCATTTCTCTTCCTGCTCCTTAAATGTTGGTATTCAACAGGATTATGCCCTTGGCTTACTACTATTAGTATTGGACATACTCTCACTAGAAAATTTCACTCATTCCTCAATCTTTCAAACACCACTTACATGTTAAAATTCCCCAATGTATATTTATAACATGCACAGTCTCTCCAGATGTTGAGTCATTACCATAAAGCCTGTTAACCATTTCTCACACATTTACAGAACTGAACTGATTATTGTCACCTTCTAAATTGTCTTTCTCACATGTACTCTATACTTCAGCATCTTCCAAGCATCTTAATACTTAAACCTAAAACCATATTTTGTTCCTTTACCCCAGCCACCAAATACATGCAATTTTGCCTCTTACGCATCCCTTACCTCTGCTCAGTGTCTACTGTGTCTAACCTAGTTCCATTCTAGTCTTGCCCTTCTCCATTCATCCCACACACCACAGTGATTTCACTAATATGCACGGTTGTTGTTTAACTCTCAGGCTTCACTTGTACCATCTCTTCCTCTATGTGTCCCAGCTTTCTTGGTTGCAGGTGGCATGCTTCCTCTCACCAAAGGGCCATTGCACACACTATTTCCTCTTTCTGGACAGCTAGTCACTATCCCATTACCTCGTTAACTCTTTACCATCTTGAGATTATACCTCCACTCCTATTTCTTCAAGGTACTCTTCCTCATGCTATTACCCCATTTCTTTAAGTCTAGATTAGTATTTGTTCAGGTTGTAATTGTACATATGACTATTTCATTAGCAAATATCTCCTCTATCTATCTCACCATGTTGCCCAAGCTAGTCTTGAACTCCTAGACTCAAGTAATCTACCTCCCTTAACCTCTCAAAGTTCTGGGATTATAGGAATGAGCCACCATGCCTGGTCTTATACACATATTTTTTAATATTTGTGTACACATATATATGAGACAGTTTCTTGACTGTTTTAATAATGAGATGACTCATCAGATTTTTCTGTTGTTACATAAAAAATATTTTTTAAAATCAATCTTGGAAATGAATCACATTCCAAAAGAGATCTGGGAGAGAAGAAAGCTGTATTGTTGGAACAGAAGTCAACATAGGAGAAAAGATTTTTAGCCCTCCCTCTCCTCCTGGGAGACATAGATGAAGGAAGAGCAGCCTGTGATTCAGAGGGAAGGACACTGAGTCAGATCCTTTAGGTGATTAAAAGACACAAAGTACAGAAAAAAAAAGAGCAGGGGTAAGGAATGGGTTGAGAATCAAGATGGATTATAAAAGACTGCATAGAAAAGAATCTGCCAGCTAAGATGTGGGACTTTTCCCCCCTCTTCTCTTAAGAAAGAGCCATAGAAAAAATAGAATAGAAATACTTTTATCTAAAAAGAAAGAAATGAGTACATGTAATTTCTGGGTCATCAGAATAACTCAGCTGCCAATCTCAGCTCCACCCTAGAGGAAAATTGGGCTAATGACCTTGAATGTCTCTTTTTATCTGTCAAAGATTGAAACACCCTCAGCTGGGACTGGAAGAGACAGGGTCCCCTCCTCAAGAGCAAGTTCAACTTGGAAGTAGTCTGGGGAGCTTGAAGAGTTTGATTTCCCCTTCAGTAGTTCTGTGCCATAGAGACTGCAAGATGTTATCACTTGAGTTCTGAAGGTGCAAGAGAAAGTCAGCCAACTTCCCAGGCCTGGTTTTCCTCACCTGTAATACAAATTAGGGAGCCTCTCACTTACACCATAGTTCTCAAAGTCTCTTCCAACTGTTTTAGCATATCGGAAACATCTTTTATAAATCCCAAAGGCCTAAGTTTAAAATAGTAAGTCTGACCCCGAATTCTTTTCTGTTGGTGTCAGACTCCACTTTTATGAACAACTCCAAAAAAAACGCCTTGGTAGGCCAAACACCACGTGTCCAAGAGGTTAAATGGGAAACAGGGTGTGAATTACTTAGAAAGCCATTTTATAAACAAACATCAGCTAGGATTGAATTCTACTGATTTGAAGGTGACTTAAGTCCAATTTCCTGTTCCTTCCCACTCTTTCTTTTCAGGGCCAACAGCATTAAGTGCTACAAAGAGAGCCCCTGCTGAGAGGGCCCCTCGGCTCCTCCCCAAGATCCCGACAGGAAGGGGCTGCCTTTTGTCACAATTTGACTGACTGGTGAGTGACACTGAAATGCTCCATCTTGCTCAGACTGAAGGACAGTGGCACTAATCCTAAAGGACAATAAAGAGTTTTTAAAAGAAAATGGCTTGGAGTGAAACTGACTGAAATCTCATCCCATAAGGGAACTTAAAGAGTCTTCTGAATGACAGCAAGTAAAAGGCCTATCAATCAATCCAAGGCGCTCCCTACACCTGCCTACTATTTCTATCAATGAGACTTTATCAAACCTATTATGATGCAAAGTGGTGACTCAGAAACCAAGCATCTCAATAATTCTCTTTCTCATCTTTTTTCTCAGTTCCAGGTCAATTGAGGGTGAATCCTCAAACCAGCAGGCTTTAAGGAGCACCTTAGGGTTCAGAGCAGACCTTTTTCTTTTTCTGCCGGTGTGTAGCAGATCTCCTTCTGCAGCCTTGGCTGTGATCTCTGCTCCTCTCCCTCTCTGCCTTGGCTATCTGCCTGCTCTCCTGCTGTCCTCATCTGTAGGAGCTGCACAGCTCAGCAAGAAACTGTTCTTACTGTTCCCATCACAGCACTGGAAGAAAAAGAATACTGAGATAGTTGCCTAAAAAGCAGAAGAAGCTCCTGTCACAGGGCCAAATGCTCTCGTTTAAGGAATTCTGATTTTACAAAAGGAAATCCCCCAACCCCTCAACTAAAAGTTAAAGATGAAAAGGCATTATGTCTTAAAACAGACAGTTTTGTGGTTATTTCACTGCAGTCAAAAACAGGTAAGCATCACTATAGCAATGCCCTCTTGATAGCTGATTGGTTTTACAGACGCCAGTTTGGTATTAGTTCACTGTTTAAAGATTCAGAGTGATTCTTTTGTTGCGTATTATATACGAATGTCTTCCCACTAAGATGAAAATGTTTTACCATGCCATACTCTGTGTGATTGCTATTACTTTTTCTGGAATTACTGTTTTATTTGATAATTATGTAACAGGATAAGATACGTGAAGACAGTAGTCCTGATGTGTAAATAGGCAGATCCTTCTGGTAATTATATGTTTATTAGAGACCTGCTGTTTTATTGATATTTATTCTTTGCAGTAGGGTCAATATTTCTTGCTCTATGTTCAGAAATTAGAGCACCAAAATTCCACTCAGCTGTGACACCGTTTTGATGTGAATCATATTTACTGTTAATTGAATTATGAAGTTTGAACATATTTGGGGTATACATGCTCTACATTACATAGCATGAAACTTAAGAATTAAGGAGTCAATTAAATGCCTGGTCATTTTCTACTTTATCAATTATATCTTAACTATTGTTATGTATTAACATAATGCTATTTGAATCGGTATTAATGGAGAGATGAGAGTTTGGATAAGCACAGCTTTTCAAGTTTATAAAAAGCAACTGCTGAGTGCTTCTTGAACTTACACTTTAAATGTCTTCTGTAAATATATGAGAGTGAGAGTTCAGATTTTAACGAAACGAATTTATTTTACTTCTCTGGAAAATAAAGAAGGGTAGAAGCTGCCGAGTTTATTGTAAGTGCTCAATAAGTATGTATGTGTTGATTGATTAAGTATTAACTGAAGAAAGCAAGGAAAAAATGGTAAATTTTATTATGTCATCTATGACTCAAATAATCCTTATATTGAATATTATGGTCACATATTATACAATTTAAAATCCAGATAAAGTAATTTTTATTGGTCTTTGGTATTTTTCTTTTTAAAACTGATTTTTTTTCTTTCTCTTTTTTTTTAGTTAAAAAATAAAGGATAATTTACCTTTGGGGAGCAGAAAGACTTATACTTTTTTATGATAATAAGATGGTCAAAAGAGCCATAAATACCTAGAACATCTAAATTGTGTCCTGAAGATGATTTGGAAATACAGAAGATTTTTTTTAAGCCACAAGCTCCCAAACCTTTCCTTTCTACAAAACTGGGATCTGAAGCAAAGACAACTAAAAAATACCAGTCCTTTCCTACAAGTTCATTGAATAAAAAATCTTAATTGAATTGCAGTCTCATAATCATAACCTAAGAATGATTATATTATTCCCTTCCAAAACCTAACGATTTTTAAGCACAGATACGTGAAATACAACTATTGTTATTTAGCACCATTTTTATACTCTCAAGATGTTTGGTGAAGATAAAGTCAGCATAATGCCGCAGAGCCAAGAGAACTGCATTTTAGTTTCAATTCTGCCCCCAACTAATTATGTATCTTTAGCAAATTACTTAATCCTCATTTATCTGTGAAACGAAGTCATATTAGATTATCTCCATTGACTCTTTTGTTCAATATATCAGAGGAGGTGTATTGCCTCTATTGATAATAATCAAAATATTTTTCATATATTGAGAGCTTCCATGTATCAGTCAGTATGTTAAGTGTTTTACCTGTTATTTTCTTATTTAATCCGTGCTTACTAGTGTCATTTTCCAGGTGAGGAAGCTGAGGCTTAGAGATGTTAACTGATCTGCTCAACTTCTTACAGCAGATAAATGGTAGACATGGCATTTCAGCCCATGTATTCTGACTCCCTGATCCACCAAAACCTGTCTGAGACTGAGGACATTTTAATGTAGTGAAACCATTTTAACATCAGAGGTCTTGGCTTTCAAACTCCTTGAGATTCAGACTCAGATAGAGATTAAGAAGCAGGAGGTTTAGTAGAGGCTGCCTTGTAGAAGGGAAAGGAAGGAAGCAGGTTTAGACAGAGAGAGACAGTGAGTTCTGATGCAGCTTCAACACATGGCTCAGCTGGTCTTACTGGAGTTCTGAAGATGTAAAGACCATTCAGGTTATCCTGAGTTCAAGTGAGAGGGTGAGCCTGTGTGTTTCCCCATTGATCAATCACTGGATACAAAGAACAGTACTAAGGGGATGTGACCTTGAGCAAGGCAGATCTCTGTATCCAAGGTAATCCCTGTACCAGGCTGCTACCCGAGAACTTTCAGTTGGCAGCCCTCCCAATAGCTGAAGGAATAAGTCCTTATTTCCTAAAGGAGGACCAGGTGGCTCATCACAGCATCCAAGATGGAGAGAAATGCAAATATAAGAAATCTAGACTATAAATGAATACAAATAATGTCAGAAGGCAAAGCAGTATAGTCAAAGATACTTAAATTGCAGCTCATGATCAGATTGCCCCAACAAGGGAAAGAATGTTGAGGCTTCAATTTCTAGTACTGTAGAAAAGTAAACTAGCTGACTGGGATCTCTTTTTTTTATTTGAACATATCTATATCAAGCACTTAGCATAAACATGCAATTTAAGATTAGAAGCTTGATGAGGAGGCGATTAATGCTCTCTTACTGCTATTGTTCAAGGTGGTATCTCCATGTTTATTGAGGGGCTGGGCTGGGATATACTACCCTTAAGATAGGTAACCATTCCTATAGTTACATTCAAGAAAACAAAGTACTACATATGCATTCTTTTGTCAATTTATTTATTTATTCAGTGCAATTTAATGGAAATATCATGAGTCTTGAGGTCAGATATACCAGTTCTGCCATCAATGTATATTTACATATAAAGTGTGTATTTATGTGTGTGTGTGTACACTTAACAACTATGAACTACAGCTAACAAATTTGTAAAATATGGGTTAAAGTTAGTTGATTAGATAATAATAGTAATTGTATCAAAAAACTCACTGCAAAAATATTAACCTCCTTGTCAAATGTCTAGTATGTATTAGGTACACAGTAAATGTTATTTCTACTTAACTTTTGTCTTCATATATGCCAGGCTCAGAGTACAAAGATAACATACAGTTCCTCCTTCCTAGAAGATCATCATTTTACAAAAGGAAAAAAGAATTTTAATTAATTGTAATTCACTATAGCAAATGTCACAATGGAGGTACAAAGGAAACGCTAGGGGAATACAGAGAAGGACAGAACTATTTTCACCAACGAGTACTGGAAAAGGCTTCATAGATATACTGCCTTTGGTTGATAACTACAGAGGAATAGAAGATTCCATCAAAGAGGGGAAAGGGGCTTTCTATGAAGAAGTGATGATATCATTTATTACCATTTTGTTTCCTTCCCTTAATTTCGGTTCCTTTTCAAATAGTAAGTCATTGACTCATTTTCAGTTTTACTACTACTCCTCTTGCTCAGTTTATTGGCATCATTCATCAAAGCTAACCACTCTCCAAGTAATACTTTTGACTTGGCATCCAGAACATTATTTTCTCTGCCTCTTTACAGAATATTCCCTTAGTTTCATTTGTTGCTTCATCTTTGTGATCTTCAATAAAAATTAGAGGCCAGGTGCTGTGGCTCATGCCTATAGTCCCAGCAGTTTGGCAGGCCAGAGGGGGAGGATCGCTTGATCTCAGGAATTTGAGAACAGTTTGGGTGACATGGTGAAATCTCATTTCTACAGAAAGTACAGGAATTAGCCAGGTGTAGCAGTGTGTGCCTGTAGTCCCAGCCACTTAGGAGGCTAAGGTGGGAGGATCTCTTAAGTCTAGGACGTTGAGACTACAGTGGGCCATGGTCACACCACTATACTCCAGCCTGGGTGACAGAGTGAGAGCCTGTCTCAAAAAAAAAAATCCAAAAACCAAAAAGGGGTACCCAGGCCTCTATCTTCACACCTCCTCACCACTTTATTGACACTCAATCCCTAAATAATCACATCCAGTCTCTTGACCCTAAGTGCCATCTACATGCTGAGAGTTTCAAATATTTGGTGGCCCCCAGCCTTACCTGTGAGTCCAGCTTTGTTTATCACGAGAGCCAGAGTGAGCCTTTAAATGATGAGTAGGATCACATCAATGCTCTGCAAAATTAACTACCACTCCTGGTTTCTTACTTTGTTTTCAGTTAAAGCCAAAATCTTGACAAGGTCCTAATGGTCTCCTTTTATGTCCCTGGCTTAATAGCTACTCACGGCCCCTCACTTACATTACCGCAGCCACTCTCTCCACACCCGTCCTCCCTGTTCCTAGAAAATATCAAGCAGTCAACCCCTTGGCATCTTTCTCTCTGAATCTAACCACCCAACCTTCAGAGAATGGTTGCTCCTTTGCTTCTGCCTTTGAAATCTCACTTGAATGTCTCTTTTGGCCAACCATATGGAGAAAAGTTTCTGGAGAATGTAGTTCCAGCTCTCCCAAATGGTCATCTTACAGAACCGCCACAGTTGTTGGTGTGCAAAACGAGTCTTTTTCCATTATTCTCCAATTGCATTCCTAGTACTGAAATTGAGGAAGCAATATAGCATAGCAATTACTGGTAAAGTGTTTAGTCCAAGACAAACCCATGTTTGAAATCCTAGCACTGGCATTTCCTACCTATAGGAGATTAGAAAACTCAACCTTTCTTATTTCCCAACTGCAAATAGAAGAAACAAGAATAACCATTAATAATAATAAAACCATTATATGATAGGAATAATGAACTGTTTATTGGTTATATTATAATAACCAATATAGGAGAATAATATAACCATCTCAAGGATTGCTCTAAGGACAAAAAGATATAATGTATGTAAAGCACCTAGAACCTAGGAAATATCCCAAATCATCAGCTATTAGAATCCCTATTATAATATTAGTGAGGGCCATATCCATAATAATAAAAGCTAAAGCAAATGCCAAAAAAAGGAAGGAGAACGGCTAGAGAGGGGAAAGGGCTAGGCAAATAATTCATAAACTGAATAATTAGTCCCCAGCCATGTGTCTCTATAATTATTGAGTTCCTGGTGCCAATTTTAAAATGTTAATCCTCAGGAAATATCTAGGTAGTAACAAAATAGAGAAGGGAAATGACACGTGATGCATTGAGTTAAAACTGAACTTTCCCAAATGTTTCACATGCCTTTGGCCTTCTCTATTGCTTTAAATATTCCTTCCAGCTATAAACATCAAATGAAGGTTACAGGTCTCCAGGACCATAACAACATCACTGTAAAGTGGAGTTTGAGTTACTTCAGGAAAAAGGTGGCGCTGGCATTGGAATTCAGCTGTGACTCCTGAAAGAAAGCACTGGTTTTATTGAAATGAGCAGGAGGCCTTTTGCTAGTTGTTACCTGTAGGGGCAATGTAAGTGTAACCCTTATTTGTTCAGACTGCACCAAACTGAGAAGAGGACTAATATCACTAAAGCGATGACACAATAGCACTTTTCAGGCTTAGCGCTCATCCACAGCATTATGGAAAACCCAGCTCTCACTCAAATTCCTCTGACTAATTCAGGAATTCTACAGAGAATGTTTCATGTTTACTGCTGGAGGCAGTCTTCCTATACACATAACAGCCTTCTTCTTTCCCACTGCTGGCACTGCAACTTTGAATCCCCCAATCACACTGTATCAGTTCTGACTGTCTGCTACGGTAGCTGCAGTGGCTCTCCTTCTGTTGCTGTTATCACTGTGAGGCCTCAACACCAAGGAGAGGAAGCTGTTGTCCTCCTGCTGCTGGTCTTATAAACCCTAGTTTTCTGCTTGTCACACCAGTACAAACTAGTCTAGATTAGGCCATTGTGGCTGTCTCCTGTTGTTACTGCTAATGTTAATAGCTCAGTTCTATGCTACAAACATGACCTCTGAAGGAGAGGAAATGTCCTACATCTAAATTTGTGTTCTATTTTGTTCTGTTTCATATGATACAATGTATTTGTGCTGCTTTGTGCACTCAACGTCTTAAGTGAGATTTTAGTGGTATGACAAAGAAATAAGATGGCAAAAAAAACGTCCACCTGAATTTCTCAGTGAAAACCCTGTGATTGCTTGAAAGAAATATTTTGTTAAGTTTCCAGTGGGCTGCTGGAGTGGAGACTGAGACCTCAAGGGCATTTTGTAAACAGCAGAAGATGCCTAAGACCATAAAGAGGTGAGAAAGCGAAAAACTGAAGCGTGAAAGAATATATTAGGAGAAGACTGCAAAGTATTATATGACCTTTCTCAGCAACCCCTACACTTTCAGTTTGATCTGCTAATTCTAGCAAAATTTCTTAAAAGGCTTGACTAATTGGATTTATTGAGAAAGTGGTAAAGTTCTGTATTAAGGTTGACACAAGATGAAATTGGTATAGTCTCAGGAGCCAGAACAATGATTTTCTAAGAGTTTGTAGACATCTTAGAAAGTTTTAGGCTACCCCAAGTGACAAAATTGAGATTTAAGTAAAGCTATCCAGCTCTCAAGGGCAGAAGAGTTATCACACATCATAAGGATTAAAAGATACTTTTGTCACCTCTTCCTCTCCCCAGAACTCTGGCAAAACAGCATGGAATGGGAAGTGGACATAGCTTTCTGCCTAAACACACACCCTGCAACATAGTGAATCACTCTGCCTGATCCTTCAGCCATTCTCCTTGGACCAAGCTTACACCTTCTGACTGTCTCCTCCTGTAAAGTGAGTCCTCATCTTAGGAATCATCCATTAGAGAGATTTGCTTTGTTTCTCTTTCAAATACCTCAGGACAGGTCTGAATTTCTAATAGGCATTTTGCATTTTTTACTTAGGATCATTACTTTTCTTTACATTCCTTTTGAAAGTCTTTTTGTTACTGTTAATAGATCAGAGACAGAAAAATTTTCTTAGAAAAATCTAAGAAATAAGTTTGCTTCAAGAATCTCTAAAATGAAGAGATTTTATATGAAGATGACTAGATGACCAGAATTATCCATATTTTTGGACAATATTACTGTTTCCTCCACCATCTGCTCCTTCCCTTCTCCTGTAAAGAAGAGAGCCTTTAAATAAGTAAAAATATCATACTGTTTCCCCTCATTGAGGGCCCATAATCCAGTCAATTTGTAACGCACCTGTGTTTATTCCCCTCTAATTGAAGATGGTGTCCTCTGTATTTTTTACTGTGCCCAATGCAAAAACTCATGTGACTAATTATGTTCATAACTAAAAATACTTTTCTCTTTTGTTGAACTGATGAGCTTCCTTGAATTAGAAACTAAACCCCATCTAATTCTTTCTGCTTATATTCGTTTGACTTCCAGGATGTTTATTTATAATATTCATGCTTAATTATAGTGCTATATTTATTTTCAATTTTCTGATATAATTGTTTTAAGTAATTAGGTCCTACCTAATTATTATTTATTGCCTATTGTTTTGTTTGCTTTTAAAAAACAATTTATATTGTTATAAAAATAAACTTTATCAAATGCTTTTGAGAATAGGTGCTGGTGTGATGCATTGAAGTTTGTTTGGAAAGACATATTATATGGAGAAACATATTTTTCTTCAAACAAGATAGTAAGACAAGAATATGGATCTGTGAATCCAGAGAGCTGTGTTTTATTATTCAACAGTTCTGACAAATTTGCTGTAAAATTTAGACAAGTCACCAATCCTTTCTAAATTTTCTGATTTTTATATGAAAGTATTTAAGTAGACAGACAATCTCTAAAGTATTTTCAGCTCTTATATTTTATGATTCCCTAATCTTGTTTTGATAACCATCCCCAAATTCTAAGAGAATATTAACTTAAATTGCTCTTGAAAATTTTCATTGAAATAAATCTAAATTTAAATGTCACCTTTCCACAGAGACCAAACTATCTAATGTTCTCTCCTCCAGTAAGATGCAATCTCATTACTCTCTTCTCTATTCTTCTTTCAATTACCTATGTGCGAAGATATTTTCCTTCGTTGATTACTCGTTCATTGTCTGTCTCCCCTATCTATGTTTTACGAGAATAAGAACCTAGACTGACTGGCTTACTGTAACACCACTAGTATTCAGAACAAGGATTGGTGCATAACAAATACCAATAAACATTCGTTAAATAAATCAATGAATTAATTCCCATTGAATCAACAACTCTGAGTATCTTATATTTCAATATATATAACACCAGTTGTTTTTTGGTACCTTTATGGATTTGTTGATAAGTAGAAAAATGACTTTAAATAATTTTTAATTAAATAAGCCATTTTACTTCAAACTATGAAACATAATGAATCACATGTAGAATAGAGTGATTGAAACTATGATAATCTCCACAAAAAGAAAAAAAACTCTAATGAAAACAATCAATAAACATCTTTTATTATATACAAGTAGATTAATAACAGGCATATCTCTTTGTATGCATTTCATTCTGTTACATAATTGAAGTTTTTAAATATTATTCAAAAGAGAGTCTAACCTTAGTATAATATATTCTGGATAACATATAAAGGACACCTATATGGAAGGATCAATTTAATTATTGTAAACAAGTATTATTTCTCATGTGTACTTTTTACAAAAAAAAATGCATTAGAAGACTAGAAGAAGAATAGACATAAAATGGTATTTTTCTATCATCATGGAGACGTTGTGAGAATCAAGTAAGATGATATATTGCAAAGTTCTTAGGTTGGAGCCTGTACATGGCTTCCCAATAAATGTTAACTAAAATATTCACAACATGATTTAAAATTTTTTTTCAGAATGTATATAGTTTGTTAAAATAGATAACTCAAACTATTTTGAAAATTTATAAACTAAAATAGAAAGCATGAAGAAGCTATTTTTCCTGCTTCTTATGTTAAAATATTTTATAGATAATCACATTGATGATATAATTTAGATATTTTTAGTACATTTTAAAAGGGGAGGACTAATCTTTAAATGGTTCTGTTTATCCTGGAACTATCAACTTCAGAGATTACAGAGATCATCCACAAAATTAAGTTCAGAGTACTTATGAAGAATATGAACGTCATTCTGGAGGAAAGAGTTCAATTAAGTAAAAAACACGTAAGATGAAAGGCCAATGTGCACCTCTTTCTCACCAGTGAAAGAAAGAAAAACCACTTCAAGAAATAACCTTTTTCAAGAAAACATACTGAAATTGAAACACATAAATTAACCCTCATAAAAAAAAGTACAGGCTAAATTAGACCAAAACACAACTTTTCAAATAATTTAAAATATATCTAGCTTTGTTACTTTTAATTAAAACAACATAGAGAATGCATTTTTTTGTGTCTTGTCTGCTCTTTTGTGGCTTAAAATCGCTTTCTTTACTCACATGTCTTAGTGTAAAGGAATGTAATGTTAGCAGTACTTTTACAGATCACACCAGCAAGGGGTGAGGCAGAGCTAATAAAACTCTCTGCTTTCTAATATAACCCCCCAGGCTGGTGTGACCTGGGGAAGTGCTAATGTGACCCACCCAGTCTGTTGGAAACCAAGTCCTTCAATTTATTCAACCTACTTCTTACGCCTGGGTACTCTTCCTCTTGAATATCTCCGGGTCTTACCACTATTTTGTTCTCTTTGGTTCCCAAGAGTGATGTGTTTTCATACCATGAAATCTTTGAAATGCTTTGCCCTATCCTGATCATCCCGTTGTGCTCCCTTAGTTCATGGGTACCTTCTGTGTCATGTTTAATGTGCTTCATCTGAAAAGGTATGCATAGAAGGAGCTTTTACTCTTTCCTGAGATCAAGCTTCTGGCATTCAGGTATTCTTTGGATTATGAAGAGTTTAGTGAAATCACTACTATTGTGTTTTAAAGTGTGTTTTCAGATTTCAGGCAACGATGCACGGGGGAGGATGAGAAGAAAATAGCACATGATGAGCAACATACATCCTGCCCTCTGACTCTGACCCCTCGTTCACACTTTGTTCCCCATGATTCCTTCCCTCAGAGAGATTTTCCCCAGGGTTCTTGTTACAAACATTGCTTGTGCCCCCCCAAATTCATATGTTGAAATACTAACTCCCAATGTGTTGCTATAATGAGGTAGGAAATTTGGGAGGTAATCAGGTCATGAGAGGGGACCCCTAACAGGAAATTAGTACCCTTATAAGAACAGACATGAGAGAGATTATTTTCTCCCAGCCATGTGAGAATACGATGAGAAGGTGACCATCAGCAATCCAGAAAGAGTGTCCTTACCAGACACCAGATCTGCCCGGGGCCTTGATCTTGGACTTGCAGCCTCTGGAATGGTGAGAAATAAATGTTTGTTGTTTTAAGCACTCAGTCTCTGGTGTTCTGCTATAGCCGTCCAAACTGGCTAGGACAGCACATTTCTGTTTCTCAAGTAAATAGTCCCACATCGATCCACCAGTATCTACAGAAAGTATTAAAACCTAGGCAGTAAGTAATTTGAAGCCACTTACAACATATACTGAAGTACCTGCAATACCTATTTTAATATTTTAATGTTCTTGATTACAGTAATAACACATGCCACTTACAAAAAAATGAGTTTGAAAAGGAAAGTAAATTTCAAGTCAAATCCTAAAATTGGTAAAGTCTATATTGGAGGGAGGGACTTCATTACATGAAGTGAGCTCATAATGTGAGCATGGAAACTGTTAAATCTTGGTCAATGTTCAAAGCTCTACATAATCAATTTGAATGAAAATTTAAAAAGAGGGGACTTCAGAACAAATCTATAAACTTTTATATTTAACTATAATTTGCGATGTGGGTAGAAGAGTTAATATTATGCCCATTTTATAGATGAGAAAGTTGAAGCTTATAGGTATTAACTATGTGGCATGTTCTTATTTGTTTTGAACTCTAAGAAACTTGTAGTGGTGAATGTTTTTCAGCCTAAAGACAGAAGATTTAGGTTCTAGCTGCTCTTTTGCTTATATATCAGCTGTTGGATCTGAGACATGTTATTTACTTTCTTAAACTGTAAATTATTATTATTACTAGAAATAATCACATCTACTTTTCTAATAGTGTGAGGCTACTTGGAGGACTAAATGAGATAATGCATGCAAAGAAGGTTTTCATCTGGGAAGGTCTGCACAAGTTTAACATTTTAAAATTTTTATCTGTTTTACAGAAACAAGTCTTACAGCTCACAAGAATTGAGAATATCAATACCTTCACATGTACAATTGGCAAAGTGTACACATGCTTGATCTCATTTAGATCTCTTTATATTTGAACAACCGTAGGGGTTGCATAGGTTTCTTAGATGAATTTGAGGATTTATCTACAAAATGTAGTCAATTGAACTGGTTCCTCTAAAGGATGTTAATGTGTGAAGTACTCTATTAAAGAATTCCTTTTTGATCCAGTTCCTTTGAAGCCATGACAAAAGTGTCAGATCTTAGCAGCTGTTAGACATTATCAAGCCAATCCATGGCTTTTCTTGTCAGGTACGTAAACATTATTAAACATTAACCGGATCCTTGAGACTAACCTGGTAACATATGACAACTCCATTGTTTCAATCTATTTTTCATAATAAATTAATTATAAAACTTGACCATAAGAGACCAGGCATTTACCATTTCTCTGTTTTTCTACAGTTCTAGGGAGATGACTAGTGAAATTATTAAATGCTTTGCCACTCTCAATAAGTGCTAGTATCAATTATATTGAGCAATAATTATTACCTGTCAAGGTGAGCTTTGAAAATATGAAATTCTTATGCTCTTAATATACATGTACATATTAAATGGGTGGGGAAAATTTGCTGTACAAGAATGATATCAAATTTTAAAATATTTATCATTCAGATACATTAAACCATACACTTTTAAGATACTGGATTCTTGATTAGTCTCCAAATGAGTCTTCTTTCTTTTTAAAAAGGGCAACTGAATATTTCCATTTAAGTATGCTTAAAAATCTTCATATTATCATAAACTCTACTTATTTTAAATGGCACTCATTAACCTCCCTCAAACAAATTCTGTCTCTAAAATCCACTGTTTTTGTGAATGTGATTATCTTGAGAATGATTACAAAGTTTTAACTCATCTTTGACCAACCTTTACTTTACTTTCTAATATGCAGTTAAATATCTTGTGTTTTCAACCCTTTCTGTGACTACGGGTACCATTCCAAGCCTATATCATTGTCATAATTGTTTTTAATAATTCCAATAATGCTAAACAATATACAGGAATATGGGTGTAAATATAAAAGTATAATGTCTTGCACATGTCTGTATCTTCTGTATCCAGCACTTCACATGTCTCATCAAAATGTTCAAATATTTGGTGACCAAATAGTTTACAAACACATAGGAGACTTTTTGTAGATAGTAGACACGTGAATAACAGTAATGAACTAAATCAAACGGTATTTCATTATTTCAGACCCTGCTCCAAGCCATCTGTCTCCTGAACTATGATAATAGCCTCTACA